CAATATTAATATTGTATATTTGAACATTTACTTGAATGTCTTTCAGTCGTTTTCTGAAAATGATCATTTTAGTTTGATAATTTATTATCATCTAACCATTTTTTAACTTGTTTAATTCTGAGATTTTTGTCCTAAGGAGCTGTAGATCTTTCCCTGAGCAGACTATCGTGGTGTCGTCTGCAAATAATGGAAACTTAAATTTAGCTGAGATATGTCTAAGGTCGTTTATATATAATAAAACATTTTAGGAACCCAAATTTATTCTTGGGGGACACCAAAAGCGATGTACCGTCTCTGCTGGACGTTGGCAACAAAGTTTTCATTGATTAAGCGTTTGGATTTGGTTTGAAGTGATGAGAAAGTGATCTAGAAGACACGATTTGAAAAGAACGCAACTTGTAAAATTCCATCTGAAAAGAGAAAATAAAAAATCTAGAATTTGCAAAATAAAAGTATAAAAAACATAAAAAAAAATTCTAAATAAGCAAGAAAAAAATAGAAAAGATAAATTGAAGAAAATGGTTCCTCTAAAAGCCTTTATTTGATTAGGAAGTTTTCAACGTTTCCTTTCTGAATGGTATTTTTGAAAGAATAATGGAGCTACAATCACTCCATACTCTCTACACCCAGCTGCTGGCGGCTCCCAGTTTGACCAGCTGGTGGTTTTAATCCCCAGGTTTCCACTGCAGCTGGAGAACGGCCAGACGGTGGAGCGCACTGTGGCGCAGTACTTCAGGGAGAAGTACAGTCTGCAGCTGAAGTACCCCCACCTGCCCTGCCTGCAGGTGGGCCAGGAGCAGAAGCACACCTACCTGCCTCTGGAGGTGAGGATGCACAGCTTCACCATGAACAAGCTCACGTCACTCTTCTTTTCAAGAAATAGAAAACATCATCAGTCCTGGACTCTAACTGGACCTCCTGTCGTCCCATTAACTTTGATAAATTTGTTTAAATAAACAAATTCTCTAAAAAACTGATTCTGTTTGAGTCAGAGCTCTTTAGTAATCATGTG